ATGTGCTGTTCCAGCCGTTTTTAGATAATCTTCAGTAGAATCTTGCTTGCATGTGAAATCCATGATATTGTTCTGTAGTTTCCACACTCAGTCGGGTCACCTTTCTTTGGAATGGGAACAAATATAGCTCTCTCCCAGTCAGTTGGCCAAGTGGTTGTTCTCCAGATTTCTTGGCACAATTTGGTGAGCACATACAGGGCTGCCTCCGTTAGCTGAAATACTACAGTTGGTATACCATCTATTCCTGGGGCCTTATTTTTTGCTATTGCCTTCAAAGCAGCTCAAACTTCTTCCTTCATCACCATAGGCTCTTGCTCATAATGTTATTTCATTAAATTCTTCTGTATCTGCCAATTTCTTTTGATACAATGACTCAGTATATTCCTTCCATCTTCTTTTAATACTTCCTGGATCATTTAAAAAGTACCTCCTTTAAAAAAAAAGTACTTCCCGAAGGGGAGGAAGCAATTGGCAAACACATAGAAGTGTATATTATCTGTGTAAAAGTACAGTGAAATAATTAGATGCTAATACTCTCCAAAGCAACCTATAAATTCATCGCAATTCCCACCAAAATTCTAATAACCCTCTTTATACAAATGAAAATATTATTAATCAAAGTACGAATAGTAAGAAACTCTGGGTATGTCAAATTGTCTGGGAAAAGAAGACATAAGGAGGACTCACATTTCCTGATTTCAAAACATTATCTAGAGCCACAGTAATTCCAACAGCCTGGTATTGGTATATAATGACAGAAACAAATGCCAGATGGGAAACAAAGTGGGAGAAAGATGGACAATCTCCTCCAGTGTGACTTACAGCCTCTGAAAACCCACTGGTAGTCAGCTATGGATTGCTTTAGACTGGATGGTACATAACAACAACATGATCAACCAAGTCCATGCATGCAGTGGGGGAAGAAGAGCCACTTCAATCGACGATGCTGGGAGAACTGCGTTTCCACATGCACATCAGGGCCCGTACTACATTCCACAACCAATGAAAATGTATCAAGGACCTAGATATTAAACTTAAACTCTTAGAAGACAATGTAGGAACAAGGATATAGGACCTAAGTATTTCCTGAATTAGCAGATATGACAACGGAAGTACCAGTAGTTGCAACAATGAGGGAATGAAAATCAAACTTCTCTGTAAATGTTCGTTAAAATCACAATAAAATGAAATTTTCTTTTCCTTTTAAAAAAAACTACCCAGCGTTTTAGGTGTGTGTGCCCATTAGGAAGAGTCCACAAAACTGGCCCTAAGTCATTGCACAGCTCCAGCTCCAGCTCGCCAGCCAGGAGGTTCTCGCCAGACCCACCTCCTCAACACCAAGCGCCTGGGTCTGGCAGAGCAGGTGTGAGAAGAAGAGAAAGGCCTCCCGTGCTGCCCAGACAATCAAGAGTTTGGGCCGTACCTTTGAGCGTACACCGAGACAGTGTGGTGCCAGACAAAAAGCACAGCCTATGGCGCTGAAAGGGATTCCTAAAGAACTTACCTGGCTCGTGATCCTCCAGCACAATGTTCTGTTGGTCCAGTTGGAGATGGCATGTTTCACTGGCAAGCCACAATTATGGGACCCAATGACAGCCCATATCAAGGCGGGGTATTCTTTTTGACAATTCATTTTCCTACCACCTAAGGTTGCATTTACAAGAATTCATCATCCAAGTATTAACAATAATGGCAGCATTTGTCTCGATATACTAAGATCACAGTGGTCTCCTGCTTTAACTATTTCTAAAGTTCTTTTATCCATTTGTTCACTGCTGTGTGATCCAAACCCAGATGACCCGCTAGTGCCAGAGATTGCACAGATCTATAAAACAGACAGAGATGAATAACAACAGAGTATCTCGGGAATGTACTCAGAAGTATGCCATGTGATGGCTACCTTAAAGTCAGAATAACCTGCATTATAGCTGGAATAAACTTTAAATTACTGTTCCTTGTTTGATTTCTTATCCAGCTACTCCCCTTTCAGACCTCATCTTTTTAAATTTTATTTTTTGTTTACCTCCCTCTATTCATTCACATGCTCATCTGAGAAGACTTAAGTTCTTCCAGCTTTAGACAATAACTGCTTTTAGAAACTGTAGTTACAAGAGAACAGTTGCCCAAGATTCAGAGCGTTTTAAAAATGAATGACTGAATGAATGAATGGAGCATGTGTCGACGTGGCCAGTGTCTTCACTCTAACTTGGTCATGACGCTAAGACTATTCCTCTCATTCTAACATGCTGGAGAAATCATCTGAGGTGGAAGGAGATGGATGCTCTGTTGTCACATCAAAGGTCTCAGTGTCACTCTAACAGCATCCATTCTTTATTGTTTTTTAGTATGACTTTTTACATTATTATTAATTTTAATGAAAATTTACAGAGACTTTGTATTTCCATTCATTCACTGTTGCACTTTTCTCCCTGCCCACCCCTCCCCACCCAGTACACGCTTCGCTTTGAAAAGGCAAATTCTTTCATTGTTATACAATCCCTCCCCACAGGTGCACTCCACTATGAAGCCTTTGTTCTGGACGCCTGTATTGACAGTAATACCTAATCACATATCCCTTTTAAACAGTTTTCACCCTCATCTGTTTCAATACCGTATACATTGTTTATTCCATCATTCTCAGTCTCTCCCAACCCTGATGTCAGTCCTGTTTTACAACAGTGGCACTATGCAGTATTTGTCCCTGTGTGACTGAGATATTTCAATCAGCATAATGTCCTCCAGGGTCACCCATTTTGAATAATATTGCATGAGTTCCTTGCTTTTCAATGCAGCATAGTATTCCATTGTGTGAATATACCACAGCTTCTCTATCCATTCATTTGTTGATGGGCACTTAGGTTGTTTCCAACTCCTTGCTATTGTGAACAAAGCTGCAGTAAACATGGGTGTGCATATATCTGCTTGGATGTCAGTTATGGTCTCTTTGGGGTATATTCCCAGTAGTGGAATCGCTGGGTCAAATGTTATCTCTATTTGTAACTTTTTGGGAAAGTGCCACACCGCCTTCCACAGTGGTTGCACCGTTTTACACTCCCACCAACAGTGAATAAGGGTTCCAGTTTCTCCACTACCTCGCCAGCATTTGTTGCTTGCTGTTCTGTTAAATTTTGCTATTCTTACTGGGGTGAGATGATATATCATAGTTGTTTTGACAGCGTCCATTCTTGTTGAAAACTTCCATTGCCAGAGATTTGAGGTTACATGATATACTTTATGCTCATAACTGATGTGGCTGGACCGTCAAGAAAACAAACAGGTCTGTCTAGGAGAGGATGAAACCAAGTTTTTTCTTGGAGGCTAGGATTTTGAAGCTCCATCTCACATACTTTGGGGACGTGGCCAGGAGGGACCAGTCCTTGAAGAAGGACATCATCATGCTCGGAAGGGTGAAGGGACACAGCAGGAGAGGAAGACACCAGTCGAGATGGACTGATACAGTAACTGGGGTACTGAGGGTAGATGTGTCGGAGTCAGTGGGACTGGCTCAGCATAGGGAAGGCTTCAGAGCTATTATACTATGAGTCACAGGCGATTCGACAGCACATAACAACAGCAAAATGAAGTCATTCTTCCCAGGACTCCAAGCCTGTCTCAAATGCCTATTCCTTTTCTATCATAAAGCCTTAAAGAAAACAAGGTTGTAACATTTGCACCAAGCCAGCACTGTGTCAGATATTCCTAGCCCTGTTAAACCCAGGTATAGACAGAGAGGACCACTTGGCTTTCAAAGCTCTATCCTGTGAGGTTATCAGAAACCTATTATGATGCAATTACCAGTTCTTAAGACCAATAGGATGGCTACTGACATAAAAGAATCCCTACTAAGGAATTACTTTTGAAAAGGTAGAGCTAGGGGAGCTCTGGTGGCCTAGTGGCAAGGAGCTGCAACTCCAATCACAGAGGCACACGGTTTGAATCCACCAGATGCTCTGTCGGGAAAAGGAGGGACAATCTCCTCCTGTACCAGTCAGATCTGATTTGACGGTACACTCACACAAAAATAAAAAAAAAAAGAAAAGGTAGAGCTGAAGTTATAGGTAGCAGCATAGGCAAGTTGGAAGGCTCTACCACCCTGGAACTCTTGTCAGGACAATGATGGCCTGATCAACCAGGTGAGAACAACTCCAAGTTAATAAACCACATTCATTTAGCGATGCCCTATCTGCTACAGCCATTACTAATGGCTATAATTAATGAATTATGTATAATAATGAGAAGTATGGAAATTCCAGAATTGTACTCATGAGAAACCTCTACATACACCAAGAAGCAGTGATTCAAACAGAACAAGGGGAAAGCACACGGTTTCAAATTAGTAAAGGCTTGTATCAGGGTTATGTCCTCCATCCATACCTCTTCAATCTGTACACTGAGCAAATATTTTTAAAAAATTGACTATATGAAAGAATGTGACATCAGGACTGGAGAAAGACTCATGAACAATCTGACTTACATAGCTTATACAACCTTATTCGCAGAAAGTGAGGACTTGAAGCACTTACTGAAGAAGATTTATGACTATAGCCTTTGTATGTAATCCTCAATATGGTTTACATCTCAAAATTAAGAAAACAAAAATATTCACCAGTGGCCTCAGACAAACATCATGATCAACAGAGTAGTTGTCGAGGATCTCATTTTACTTAGATCTACAATCGACATCCAAGGTACAGCAGTGAAGAAATCAGAAGATTTGCTGCATTGGGAAAGTCAGTTTAAAGACTAAGGTGTGTCCGAGTCAAGTCATAGTATTTTCAGTTGCTTCCTATGTATCTGAAAGTTGAAGAAATGGATAAGGATCGTAGAAGAAGTAACGTCTTTGAATTGTGATGGCAGATAAGAGTACTGAATATCCCATGGACACCCAAATGAAGAAATAAATGATAAATGTATCTTGGAGGAAGTGCAACCAGGGTGCTCCTTAGAGGCAAAGATGGTGAAACTTCATCTCACTTTCTTTGGGCATGTAGTCTGCCTGGCCTAATCCATGGAAAAAGGCATGATGTTGGGGAAAGTGGAAGGTCAGAGAAAGAGAAAGATCCACAACGAGATGGATTGAGAGTGACTGTAACGTTGGGCGAGCACAAATGTGAGATCCTGAAAATGGTGCAGGACAAGGCTCAGGTCCACTGTTTGTAGGGTCACTATGCATCGCAGCTGACTGAACTGCACTTAACAACATCAATTATCTGCTACAGTGCTTATACGGTTGTTATGTACCATCGAGTCAGAACCAACCCGTGGCTGACCCTCTGGCAGGTTTTCCGAGAAGTTAATTACACAGGAGAAGACTGTCCATCTTTCTCAGGCGGAGCAGCTGGTAGATTCAAAATGTGCCTTGGGGCTGGCAGTGGAATTCCTTACCACTAGACTACCAGAGATCCCTTGAAGGAGGTACACAGAATTTAAAACAGAACTAGAACTTAAGTCAGACATACAAAAAACAAGACAAAATCCCACTGTGATCAAAATTCCTTTCAAACTTATAACGACCCTTCATTTTAACAGACGACTGCTCATCTCTCTCCCAGGGAGCAGCCGGTGGGCTTGAACTGCCAACTTCTTAGCAGCATACCACAACCAACAGAGGTCCTCATCAGAAACATCCCTCCTTCCAAACTCCACCACCTCACACAAATGTCCTCCTGTGGCATGGCTGTTATCTGAGAGGCTTGGAGCTGATTAGGTGGGTGGTGGCTGGAAACAAATTCTGGTTTGGAGAGCCGTCAGGGGAGCTGGAGGATGTGAGGGAGGCAAATGGTGGGAAAAACAAGACAGGATGAAAGCATGAACAGGGGAGGAAGGAGGAAGCTACTAGGAGATGGGAGTCATGGAGGAGTTAGCTGACCTGAAGGGGTGGCTGGGTGGTCTTACCTGCTCCTTGCTCATGTCCTCTGGTGCGAGCCCATCAACAATTGGGGTGCCTTTGGCCTTGCCCCTCTTCCCTTTCTTTTTTGGAGCCTGTGGTTAGAGAAGACATGGCAAGTAAGTAAGCCATCAAGGGCCCCCGTGTGCCAGCTAGCTCTGAGACTTTCCCAGGGGCCCCCACATGCTGGCTGGCTCCAAGACTTTCCCAGGGACCCCAGGTGCTGATTAACTCCAAGACTTTCCCAGGGTATTTCTGGGAAGAATGGGCCTCTCACTGCAATCTCTGGGCCAACAGAGGGCCATGGAGCACCAGCTCCTTTGGAGAAGCAGAGGAAAGACTTCATTTTCAGAAGAGGTATTCTCCTCCCCACTGAAAAGAGAGGAAACCATCCCAAACCCACCTTTGTAAAAGGCACACACACTTTTGTCTCTTGATACTGAACTTACTCACACATGAATAAAAGATCCCTAAACCACACTGACAAATACCTCCACGTCTGTTACTAGCTTGGTGCCCACCCTGGAAAATCTCCAAAACCCATTTCCTGGAGCACACAGCAGAATTCTGTGGCAAGGATCACAGAATGACAGCATCTTCCAGCTTCCTTCCAGTCTCTTCCCAGACTCCCAGGTCGCTATGAGTCAATCAGAATCAGAGAGAGCAGCAAGTTTGGTTTCCTGTACATATAAAAATCCTTCCAAGAACCCAGGTCCAGAGAGCTTCCCAGCTGCTGTGTACACAAGTCAACAGAGGCCCTGCTCATGGTGAAAGCGCTCCATCCTGTCATTCTACTCGATCTACCCCTTAGATCCCCTTTCCAAATCTTCATCCTTATACCTTTGCCTCTCCCAGCTCACGGTGGTGGCCCATGCTTTCATGTGTGGGTGCCTATAGGTCTTCTTTATTAATGCAAAATTTTTTCAAGTCAAAATTTAAGAGAACACAGAGAAGCACAAATAAAAAAACCAAAAACCTGTCCCATTCCCACAGGCTAATGATAAGTAGAGTTCTGGAGGCTTAGTAAGGATTTGTAGTAACCCAAAGTCACATGGTTGGAATCCACCAGCTGCTTGGAAGATGGACAATCACCTCTCATGCAACTGACTACCTCTGAAAACTTGCTGGAAGCTCTGTTATGAGTTGGTTCAGACTCGATGACACATGTTGTTGTTGTTATGGGTCCTCGAGTCGCTTGTGACTCATCACAATAACTCTGAAACCTACTCGATCCGGTGCCAACCTTATTGTCTCTGACACACCTAGCCTCGTTACCTCAGTCACTGAATCAATCCATCTCATCAAGAGTCTACTTCTCTAGAGTTGTCCCTCCACCCTTGCAAGCAGGATTTCCGTCTCCAAGGACTGGTCCCTCCTTGTAACATGCCCAAAGTATGTCAGAAGAAGCCTCTCAGAATTCTTGCCTCCAAGAAGCACGAACCTGTTTGTTCTACTTGCAGTCCATGGTATATTCAACACTCTTCTCCAGCACCACAGCTCAAAGGCATCAATTCTCTTTCTATCATCTCTAGTCATTGTCCAGCTCTCTGATGCATGTCAAGTAAATGTGAAGACCATGGCCTGGATCAGGTGCACCTTAGTCTCCAAAATGGCACTGTTGCTCTTCAGTACTCTGGAGAGGTCCCTGACAGTCGACTTTCCCAATGAAATTAATCTTTTGATTTTCTGGCTGCTGCTACCAAGAGTGTTAATTGTGGAGCCAAGCAAACTAAAGCTGTTAGCAGTCTCAATCTCTTCACCATTCATCATAATGCTGCCAATTGGCCCAGTGGTGAGAATCTTCGTCTTATTGATGTTGAGCTTCAATCCACATTGAACGCTGCAGTCCTTGAACTTCTGCAGCACGCACTTCACGATAAACAAGGGCAGTTTTGGTACCGGCTTCTTCACCACCACTTCCCCTTTCACTGGTCTTTCTAGCTTTTCTCTAAAAGATCTATGCCAAGAAGTCAACCTGGTCCCAGTTTACACCGGGGTGGGTCCCGGCTCTCCCTCCCAAGACGGGAGCTCCTAAGGTACCCACTGTGCAGCCTGTCTTCTCTGGGGATCTTGTGTCCTGTGGCCTTAATCCTCAAGGCCTCTTTCATCAAGGCTTTCACTCACCAGACCTGCGAGCACAGAACCTGTCACTCTCAGGCCCATCTCAGATAAGACAGACGCAGGCCTAGAGTTCCAGTGCACGCAGGTCAAGAACCGCCGAGCTCGGACCCCAGCCCAGTGCGCTCTGGTTTGGAACACCCAGAACCCAGATCCAGACCGGGGGACCCAGTGCGCGCCCAGACCCCCAGCCCAGTGACCCAGGTGCAAGGTTCGCCGAACCTAGACGCCAGCCGAGGATGCGCAGAGTCCAAAACCCCCGAGCCCAGATGTGCCCCAGTGTCCCAAGGCGCGCACGTCCCGAACACGCTGGCCGAACTTGGATTCCAATCCGGGTCCCAGTGCGCGCTGGTCCGGAGTCCACCCCCAACCCTGACGCTGGCCTGGAGGAGTCCACCCCTGGGCCGAGACCCCGGCTCGGGGACCCACGGCGCAGATCCAGAGTCCCCGAGCCCAGTCCCAGGCCCAGCGTCCCAGAACCCAGAGCCCAAGCCCACCGCCACGGCCCTTCTCACCATCGCTGCCCCTCACCAGCCCGGCCTCCGCCCTCTAACCAACTCGCCCGCCTCAGGCGGCGGCGCAGTCTCCCCGCAACGCTCGGCGCTCCCGCTTCGGCTCGGGAATCCTCGCGAGACCCGATTACAGGGCGGGCCTGGTAACAGAGAGAGGGCGTCCCTAGCAACGCCTTAGGAGCCGCGGCTAAGGTGACCGGAACGAACTGAAGGTGGGGCCGGGGCTCCTTACCACCCACCGCCTCATCTTACCAGCTCCGTGAATGGACGTTGTTGCCCATCGGAGCCCCGACTTCGGTCCACGGCGGTGTGGGGTCATCTCTCTGTTCAGCTATCCTTTTCCTAGGCTACTACTCAAACTCATGTCCTTTTCCTAGGCTACTACTTAAACTCAAAAAGCTCATTTCATAGATTGAGAACCTACTCACAGCTGACCTTACATTGGGTTTCTGAGATTTTGTAAAGCACACAAGTGGAGAGTATCCATCTTTCTCTTGAGGTGGATTCGAACAACCAGAGAGGTATGGTCTTCAGGTTATCAACATGTCTTCTTTTGGACTATCTGAAAACTAAGGAGGTCTGCGGTCCAGAGCGTACAGGTCTGGGACCCCCCAGCTCAGACCCTTAACAGACTCTGTGACTCACACCCTGTGAAGAGTGGGGAGCTGCCTCCTTTGGGCCTCAACACCTTGACAAGGTTATCAATAAAAATGTGTTGCATGGATGAATGAGGGAGATCTGGATCATGGTCAAATTCAAATTTTAATTTGAGACTCTGTCTATGAAACTCCACTTTGCTGCCCAAGTGAAGGTTGGAAATAGTTGATTTTCCAGAAACACGACACGTGGCAGGAGAGTAGGGAATCCACAACAAAAAGTTTCCATCTTAGCTTAAGGGATGGTAAGTCAGCAGTCAGTGGCCTGACCCAACTGCTGAGTGACAGCACGCCTCCTCCAATAGATAACTAATAACAGATTAAGTGACCTTTACAGCAGCCGCTCCCTCCTTCCTCACAGAGGAAAAGTCGTTCCGAGTTTTCCAGATCCTTAAAAGAAACGCTAAGGAGCTCTGGTGGCCTAGTGGCAAGAAGCTACACTTGCAATCCCAGACGTATGCAGTTCGAATCGACCAGACGCTCTCCTGGAGAAGGAGGGGCAATCTCCTCCTGTACCAGTCAGCCAGTCAGATCTGATTTGACGGTACACACACTCAAAAATAATAAAATAAAAAGTAAAAAAAAAAAAAGACAAGCGCTAGTTATCTTCCTCCAATCCTGATGCACACTCTTGTTTATGTAGTTCAGCTTCTGGGATTATTTGCTCAGCATATGGATTGGATATGAGTAACTAGAAACTTCATAGGGTTCAGCTCCTTGATTTGGATTTCTAGGGTCATGATTTCATGTGAAGTCTCAGCTAATTGGCTTAATAACATGCTTGGAGCTTTTTCTCTGCCTCCTAGTTCTTTGTCCAAAGCCTGAGGCCTTAGGCATTTGCTAATGTCCATCCAAAGCAAAGCAATTGGTCTCTTTACAGAAGGAGAATCACAGTAAAACTAGGTGATGACACCTGTGGCTAACTGCCTCCAGAATCTGCCCCCTTTATGAGAAGTCCAGAAGAGTTCTCTGATGCCTTGCCACCATCACTAACATCATAAGTTTCTAGAGAAGAACCTTGATCCAAAAAAAGGGGAAATGTAGAGCAGAATTTAAAATTCTCATGAAATGCAGACTTACTAGAAGCACGGAGAGTGCAGAAACCTCTGGAATCATTACTATGACAGCATCTTTAAATCATAAAATAGTTAAATATTTCTTTAAATCCTATACATGTATCTTTAAACCAGTTACACTCGCTGAACTAAAGATTAACTTGTGCAAAAGCTGTACAGGATCAAATTGACAATCACAGCTCCAAAGTTTATATAGGAACCTTATTGAGCAGTGGAGTTGAGGCACTGGGGGAGGAATAACTTGAGAAAAGAAGAGTGGGGACTGTTCCACAAAGCAAAGAACAAAATCAATGGTATTATCTATACAAGTAGTAACCACGGGA